TCGCCATAATACATCCAGCAGCTCACAAACCCAAACACCTTGTGTTTCAACATGAAGTTCATCAGCGATTTCAGTTTCTTCCTGAAAACACGCGCTGTGATGTCATACCTATTTACCGTCGATAGCCCAGGAAGTAAGAGCTGATAAATATCCCCCCAAACTGGATTGCATGTGAATTTAATGAGTAGGTCTGGACGCCCGTACGGACAAACGTAAGCAATTGCACCTCGAGCGTACTCTAACATATGGCGTGGACTGTCTGTGTATGTGGACGACAAAAGCGTTAGTCTTACAACGTTATCTGTATTACCGTCGTTTACAACTGCATCATGCAAATGAATGTATCCTTCAGAGCGCAGCTTTAAGCGAATGAAAGCAGGCGTTAATTTTCGATTTACGCATACATAGTAACAATGCAGTGATGAAGCAATTTACGGCATTTCAAAAGGGGATTACTTACATTCTGCCGTATAATAAGTCGGTAGGAGTAGTGGTTCATTGCGCTGCATTTCATGTGCGTTTCCTCGTCACTAACTGGATTTATCATCTTAACGTTGAAGTGATATCCATCGGTACCATCCCGAAAAGAAAATGGATGCTGCGTTGGAATCGGTCCCCGACTGCCGGTATATATGGTGTCACCTTACCCTAGAATCATTAGTCTTCCAACGGTTGTTGTCGTACTGTCATTTACAACAGCATCAGGCTGCGTTAATACTGACCACCGAGTCGTGCTTGACGCTCGTCTGCTGTTCCTCGCTGGCGCCTTTCGGCCACTCCCAGCTGGCTGTGTTCATCCTGTTGTGAACGAAGCAGGCCTGAAGCTGCAGAACGCGGTAGCCGTGACCGCAACCGGGCTTCCGCAAACCGAGGTGCACAGTACTGAGCTGGCATTGGGCGACAGCCCCATTATGTGGGTTGTGCGGGGGGGCAAGCGCTGGCGTTAACTGCATCCAGTCCTCACCCCCGAGAATCCCCGAGGAAGCGGTGACGGCCCTATTATGTGGGCTGTGGGACAATTTTAAGTGGCGTCGAAGTGTTGCGTGTTTTTTGCCCCAGGGGTGCTTTGCTTTGGCGGCCCATATTACATCGGCCCAGAGAGGGTGGAGGGCCTGCTCAAGTGCCTGCAGGGTGGCTGGCGGGGTGAGCGCAGCCACCGGGCGGAGCACGTGCGTTTGAGAGAATGTCGGTCAAGTGGCCACAGTCTGGGCGCACATGTGTCCGCGCGCGATGTAGGTCAAGTGGCCGCAGCTGGTGGCGTTGTTTGGCTGGAAAAAATTCAGTTTTTTACCCATCACAGGCATACCATCGGCATAATTACACGATTAAACAGCCAAAAACCCGGCCCTATGCGCGGGTCGGGTTGTGTCCAGATTTCAGCGAAATCTATGCAGGACTTTCGGAGATTAGATATAACACAGAAAAAAATCCTTCCATTTTTTTATATATAGATTCAACAATCAAGAAACGCCTAATAGATAAAATGCGAATCTGCAATCAGATAAATTGCCTTCACCATTTAGACAATAAAAGATTTATTATTGCACCTTATTAGTGCTGTCATTCTCCATTGAAGACAAAAAACACAATGATACTCATAAATTTCGGCGGCATTTCGACTGAATTTACCTTGGGTGTCCACCTAGTCGCAGGATATGATTTGGGAGCTTGATTTTAGTCATAAAAATGAGAATCCCAAGACAAAATTACGGCAAAAGTCTAAAGAACACGATGTGTTCAATTTCGAGATTTAACTTTGGTGTTCGGCGGTTTTTAATAGTTTTTTTTTAATAGTTTGCCTTTAGTGGAAATTGGGAACGTGAACTTGGGCTAGGCGGAATTAACCGCGAGTTGATCATTTTGGAGCTACGCTAGGTGCCGGTTGCCAGCTTAAAGGCTGCTGATAAAATCTGATCCTATAGCTTATTTTTGTTCTCCAGATAGATAATAACAGCTGTGTCACGCAGCGGCAGAATGTCCGCGAAACACGTGACTGGGCATTTAGCGGCGGCAGTTTGCGCCTAGCTCACACTTACCGCTAACTTCCTAACTTTTCGCATTTGCTGATGTAATTGATGACTTTATATCTGTTTATCGATATGAATAGGGAGCTCAAGGGCGAAAGCCTCATTCCCTTAATAAACTGACTTAAACTGACTAAACTGACCTATGTCGGGAGGATGTTTTAATACGTTTGCCTATTTACAACATAAAAAATTCATGATATGCAGAAAAGTGTTCAGGGCTGAAATAGCTCAAACACGTCCATGATGGTAGGACAAAATGGGAACGAGTTCCAGGGGGTGCGCTCTACTTCTCATCGCTCTAGGTCATTTCCGAACATAAATATGTCAAGATTCTTTTTAAAACTTCCTATTGAAGGTGATATCACAACGTATGCGGGATGGGCATTCAACGTTTTGACCATGCGAACAGAGAAGGAGAACTTCCGCACATCCAGCCTTGCCTGCTGAGTGCGCAGTTTTAACGGGTGAACTCGGATATTAGTCGTGGTAGCAAATTCAAAAAAGTCCTCGAAGGTCTGGCTGCAATCCAACCCTTTTACAAAGCGGAATGCTCGCAAGAGATCCCCGCGGAGTTGCCCGTAACTCAAAGGAAAGAGGTTCAGATTTACTAGGCGGGTTGCTTAAGGAAGGGAGCCTTGACCCCTAAACCATATCCGTGGCTCTCCTCCGATTTCTTTCGAGGCAGTTTTGATCCTCAACCGTCCGCGGTCTGCAGGCTTGTATGCCGTACTCCAAATGCGGCCGGACGAGTGTTCCAAATGCTCTTGAGAAAGCATCTTGGTCAAAGTCCATAAACGCACGCTTGATGGCGTACAGTACAGACATTGCTCTTTTTGCTACTCTCGAACAATAGGCGGATGGTCTTAGGGAACTCGTCGTCAGTACACCAAGTTCCGTTTGGGCTTCGACTTCTTGTAGGGATGCACCGGCCAGAAACTCGTCTATTGTGCTGGCGGATCTGGCTGTGCTGCTAGGCGAGGTATATCACATTTACCAACGTTGAACAGCAGGAGTCAACGGTTCGGAGGTCGGCGCGAATTAGTTTGCCGAGGGGAGTAAGACCTACACCCGCTCTTACGCCAGGGCGTCTGAGTGCTGACGTCCAACCCGATTGGGACCGCATAGAGGCCATTGCAGCACAACCCCGAGGGGGGTGGCACAAGCAGTCTGGAGCGACCCTCCTTATGGGCAAGGCGAAGAGCGTCGTCTAACTTGGACGGCTGCTGAGGGAGGGGTACTTTGCGAACCTTCTGGTCCGAATCACGATTTACGAACTGCTCGAGAAGTGTTTCCTGGAGATTGGCGGCTGCTAAAGTAGGGCAGGCCTGCCGACCTAGAAAACGAACGGCCTGTTGAATTTCTACGTTGCTATCGAACGGCCCCTGAAACAGCCATCGGAACTCTGAACGCGCCGGCCAAGTGGGCGTTGTGCAGCAGTGAATGCGACGAAGGTCCCGAAATATGTCTGCGACAGGCGTCGTAGGTTTGATTTCTGAAGCCCACGCCAGGTCAGAGACATCGTCGTCCAGTGGTGACAGAATTGGCATGTCCTTACATTTGTCATCCACGCCGCATAGGTAATCTTTCATTCGGGCATCCCAAAGGTCAAAAACGTCTGACCGAGAAAGTTTGACAAGGGAGGTGACACAGCGACGAATGCAATGCCAGATTCTGCAGCCATTTACCAAGCCTCCTTACGAGATTGTCTGTCATTTTGCATGCGGCACGGCTGCCACCAAATTGTAACGTCCCTGACCCGATTAAGAACGACCCCCAAGGACTATTAAGGCAATTTATAAAAAAATAATTAGACGTGTATTAGAATGAAAATACTACAGTCTTCGCTAATGACCTTATTTGCACACGTAGTGCCTCAGAAGTTCTTGCTTGGCAGCAAAGTCGACAGACAACAGAAAGACGGAGCTCGAGCCTCCTATTTCGTTCCTTCGTTAACGTTCTGGCATAGTTATGTGACCTCAGGCGTTGAAGAAATCGAAAGATTCAAATCCTGTGTTGTGATTGGTCGAGTGGCAACTGTGAAAAGAAAACAGAGCAAACTTGGTTCATCATCATTCCACTTGATTTGTATTTATAACACATTTCTTAGGTTAAGTAATTTTATAATAAACCCAAATTATAACGAAAAAGACACTACATTTTAACTCACCGATATGCATAGTCCAAGTTGGTTCTAGGAACACCAACCCTATAAACAGTGGTAGCGATTGCGCGCGTCCCTGCCAGGCTAGAGGTGTAGGTTACGACACTCGATTGTCCTCCTACGTCTAGTCGGTCCTACACTCGCATTATTTTGTTCGCACGGTCGCTGTCGGACGGTGAGCGATTCCCGCGCCGAGCTCTCCAGCGATGCATTCCGTCACTTTGAACACATTCTCTATGCATGGAAGAGGGTACCAGAGTGTTGGCGACTCACCTCCGTTTGTTCGCCGTTGGTGCGTGCGGAGGCAACGGCTGACGAAGCCTATTGGCCATTCATTCCTTGTCAGTTTGTCCCGATGATGCCGTAGTTCTCATACTCGTCCCCCCGGTTCACTGCAATGCGTTTTTACCATTTAAAAGAGTGCCATAACACAGCTGCGTTTATGCGCCATGGGGTGGTTACTATGGTAGTTGGCAATCTGAGTCGTTGAATAGCATTCTGCATATATTATGCGCAGCTGTGTGGCTTCTGGTTGGGCTCGAGAAAACCCGTAAGGCATAACGGAACGAGTGAGTTATGTAAGAACGATCGGTAAGTGCCCCCTACCAATCTGAGTCGTGTTGGTCCACTTTCTCACTAAATAATCTACCCCAGCTGCTCTGAGTCAGAAATGTTCACAGGACCCGCGCGAGGAAAACCAATCACCAACCGGCCATCAGCAACCAATAGGAAACGCAGGATACGCCTGACGGCCCTATAGGGATTGGGGCTGCGGACTGCTGGACTGTTCGTAACAAATTCTGCTCGTGGAAATGGTCCGGTATTGGCTGCATCGAAGTAAAGCCATTCAGAAGAGGATAGAGCCCCATATCCAAAAGTTTTTCCCGTTTCACAAGCCAGAACTTGATGGTGTGTCCCCTGTGGCAGCTACCTACAGTGGCAAGGTGGTGAAAGCCCCATTTGATCTTGCTATTGGCATGGTTGTACCCTTCGGACAAAGTCTGATGGCCTCACGTGAGAACATTGTAAAAGTCAGACTGCATAAACTTTGCTTAAACAAGTTTCTACTCAAGGTATTTTTCTGTACTCTAACCCTGTAGTATTATTATCAATCGAAAACTTACTGGACCCATACCCAGGACATCAAAGTTGACATTGGTGACATTGTCCTCGTTGAAAAGTGTGATCCGCCCATTGCCTTCAATACTGTGTACAAACTCAAGAGGGTCGTTTATCCGGTAGGAAACATCACTGACCCTGTCACAGGATTAAAGTGCGAGGGACCGGAGTACTCCATCGAAGTAATGCAAGAATGGCTGAAAAATTATAAAAAGACGGTGGAGCCTGCGCAATCGGAATGATTTCTGTACCTTTCATACGGGTCGATATTTTCTACAATGTACCTTGCTACATGAGACTAGTCACTGTTGGCTTTTCCCTCCCTACGTTTGCACGCATCAAATACTTGAGTACGATGTATCGTTCAGGCCATATAGCCTGAACGAGGACTTTCGTTGCTTAGCCAGTTTTTGGGACATACCACTAGGTCAACCCACCGTCCTTTGTTTTCGATGTGGCTCGTCTTGAAATATGTCTCTGGTCGGCAGACATATATCAAATGTTACGCTGGTCACTAAGATCCATTGCCTGGCACAATAATCTTTCGTGCGCTTCGTAGGGATGTCCATAGTCGCGACGTCAGGGGATTTTGATTTACATACAGGAAGATGCAAGAGCATATTTTCACGCTTGCTTTTTCGACTTCTAATACAGCAGACCGCGAGTCTTAAGTAACTGCTCAATAAGTCGTGGATAACTGGAATTTTCCAGTCTACTTTCCTGGAAGAGGTCGGAAACCAAGAATAGGACGTCCGAAAGACCCCTATCTCGAATATCTGGAAAAGATTTATTGAGTAGACCGTTTAGCCTATGATTAGTGCGGGCTAATGTCACATTTGGCTCCTACGGCTCCCGGACTCTTCACCCGCTTGTCACTTTAATGCAGCGCCACTGTAGACGCCCAACTTTGGCATATACTACGTCCCTATTTGCTATGATCGATCAGACCCATACGGACTGTCTTGAACTCATGCCTAGCTTGGTTAAGATGGTTCATCATATTCCGACAACCTGTTTTCGACGTCGTGGTTCCTATCTACTTAAAAAGCCAAAATCCGTAGCCCCTCACGAACTGCGAACCTGATTGATAGCATTTTCTTCCACGTCATCCTTCCATCTCACAAACTTCTGGTCTGGAGCACTCTGCATACGCGTGGAAGTAAATTCTCTCTTATGTCCCCTTTAAGCACACATCTAGTCCTCCAAGGATTAGTCGCTGGAATCCGTAAAACGACCTTGAGTGCAGCCAAATCCCTTAAGTTTCGGATGTTGCTTCGACATATCGGGGACTACATGTGTACAGGTGTGTCTGCCACCATACTTTGATACCAACGCACTCAGTGAAATGGTAAGACTGATGAAGCGAATACCATTTCCTTGAAAATCTGCAGTACTGGAGGTGATTGCAGGGTTGTGCCGCACGTTGCTGGGTAACTGATTTCCCCAGATTAAATCGAGTCGGAAATAGTAGCCCCCAGTGACGTAAGTGGCTCTTGGCCGAAACCCAGTCCGGCCGGAGTATGCACATCCAGACTGGCCTGAGATATATCGTAAAACAATCGCGCTTTGGTGGGAACGCAGCTTTCACGTAGAAACTACCATCCCATTCGAATATTTATCAATTTACAGGGTGCTCCGGAGGATGGTGGAAGCACGTGTGGGATTTCGCCGTCCTTAGGTCCATTTGACCGCCTCATGTGCTCTTAGTGCTTTTTGGTGGCGTGAAAGTTAGCACACGAAGGCTTGGGCTTCTACGCGTTGGTATCGTCAGCTAGGACTGATCTTAGGAGTTCCGTCTGACGGAAAATGTCGGACGGTGCGCCACAGAGTACGCACTTTTGGACGTTTTGCTAGGCATGCTGCCGACTGTTAACTGAGAGGTCTTTTGGGAATCCCAGGGTTTCACTGATAAGAGCCTAGTGTCGGAATTGTGAGTGCGCCTCTGGCACAGACGGTGAAGATTCCTTTATAAATGACGTTTTGTGGACGCAGTAAACTGCCACTATCGGAGGACATTCAAGAAACCACATGAATAGACAAACCGAAGGATGGGCGGGCAGCCGAAGGTAGCCTTAGTTCGGCTTTGAGGTACCGACCGGCACCATCTCAGGAGTTAACTTTGTAAAAGCTCTACTCTTCCAGAGTAAGAAACGATTGGAAGCTGATTGATCCAGTAGTGCAGTCACCGAAGGAGGCTCCACTCGACCATTTGTGATTTTCCCGGAAGAGGTCATGCGTGAAGTCGGGCTCCTGAAGCTACTCGGCATTTAAAACCACTGCTTCACTCAAGATGAAGCGCGATCGCTTGAGCTTTGATCGCAGATTGAGAGAGCGCTTACATAAGACGTGTTGCCGTTTTTCTGTAAAATTCGTACTATATAAGCAAGCAAGTAACCTGTGTGGACAGCTACGTTATTGACACAATTTCCGGACAGGACGTTGAAATGTTTACTTCTCAAATTCGGAGAAAACAGTGAGTGTACAAAAGTATTTTAAAGTTTCCTCGTTCCTTTGGCCGTCAAGAGGCTTCTCCGGAATTCCCTTTGCTTACGTTCGGCGAGTTCCTTTTGGCGTCTAAGTTCTTCATGAGAAAGGCAAATCTCTGATGACAGTTGCATAATGCGTTTCTGAAAATTCATGATGGAAAAAAAGTACGTTAGGCGAGGAATAAACACAGACAGTGATGCGGGAGAATGGGAAGGCTATTTCTGAATTGTCAACCGTCATCAACCAGTTGTGCTCCAATTCCAGGTTGACTCGAATGAGAAAGTTTGACCCTTGGGGTCTGCAGTCTCCTCAATTACGACCGAGAACGTTAATTACTGGTTTCTATGCGACTTCCTGAAAGGCTTTAGACAGAGATTCAGAGTGCGCTGCTACAGAGATGGCCCGTACTGTGAGTAGTTCAGCGAATGACCTACACACGCTCCATTAGACGTCTATTGTTCACGATGGGAAACAGTTTCAACCAAAGTAAGCCGTAAATGAGGGTTTTGGGACGAAAATACACCGAACTGAGGTTTGATGATCTTCCTTACGTTCTATGGAATTTTTTGAAGATAAGAAGATGTGCATATCTAGCCGGTGATAAGATAGGTCGAAAATTCACTACAACTTTGTAGTGAGTCTTTCCATTTGTTAGAGGAAAGTATCCGAAAGACCGGTTTTACCAGGGGAACGTTGTACAGATGCGATACTTTCGAAATTCAGGAAAAGTCGGTCTTGGGGCAGTCACTACCTGCTCTACGTCTGAAGGAAGTCTGCGTGACAAACACCATTAACAACGCGCCGCGAGCTGTCGGTACAAAAATACTGGTAAACTGTCTGGGTTTGTTTTACTTTTCTTGAGAGGTCGAACGGTTTTTGTACTGACAGCGCGATGCTTGACGTGGGAACCTGGTTGTGTTTGGAACAGGTGGATGGACGGTAGGTGTGTGAAAGAAGAAGCAAGTCTGCTCCGCTGAGAATAAACTAGCACCAAGTCACCACGAGACAGCGGTAGTCCTTGTCGTTTGCAGTGCACAAGAAGTTAGGATGCCAACTGATCGGGCCAAGGAGATCCGGAATGTGCGACTAAGGTCTTCCATCAGACCTCCCAGATGTCTTAGCGTGTAGATAAGTGCTATTAACTCGGTGCAAGTCGTCACTTATCGGAGAATAGCGATAGCACACCCTGGCCAGCTTACTTCATATGGTTTTTGTAAGCCTTAAAAGACGTCCAGACCAATCACAGCACCTAGTGTTGGTCTGCGTGGACATAAAACGAGCAAATGCCAATGGATTTCGACCACTGCCCGAGTTAGTTATACCAAACTCATCGTATGATACAGACCGAACTAGTTGGGACAGCGCCAGAAAGACTTGTCAGACATAAAAGAGGATCGAGGTAGTCTGGACACACCCTTTCTTGCTGACCCCATAAGTTGCACACTCCTCCTCTAAACATCAGCATGGCTCTTGAGCATACGATACTCCGTCTCCACCCCATGGGAGCGTGAATGGATTGAATTCAGTGGATTTACTGGAGTAGACCCTCACTCGCGGAGGCAGTCAGTCCAACGTGGTTGCCGCTGACAACCACACGAACACCTCGGTGTGGAAGCAGCTGGCTGGAACCTTGGTTCGGGACAGCTCTAAATCCTAACAACGAACGAGGCATACAGTGGAAGCTAGGCAGTCTTGAATGTTTTCAACGGAGTCGCCATCAGAATAGTGAAAGCGAGAAATCGGATCAAACAGAGCAGGACTAATAAATTTTCTGCTTTGAATGATGGAGGTTCGCCGCACAATTACTGAAAGTAAAATAAGCAACGTGAACACGAAAAAAAAGAATCGAATGTCTGCTGATCACCGAAGACCATGCCTGTGTATAAGACCAGGCATCATTTTGATTTCGAGTGCGTGAGGTCTCTATGAGACGAGTTATACGAAAGCTCTGTAGTCATACTAGTATCAAAAACAGACCAGATAAAATGATTGCATATGTGCGCCACAAAAGAATCCCAAACGGAAAAAGATACGCAACAGATTTGGAAAGCACAGTTTTCTAGAATAGTGCCCACTGGAGAGCTGTTGACTGATTGTGGCGCTAGACGTCCTAACCCTCATTTAAGGATGGATCAAAAGTCTCAAGCCAAACACTGACTACGACTGAGTCATTTAGGGCAAAAAATGAGTCAGCTTTTTAAACGGCGTCTATGGAAGGATGCAGTGGGTCAAAATCGTCTTCTGCTAAAATGGGCGCAATTTCGGACTACACAGTGAGGAAGTACCTCTCCCCAAATTCCTACACCCTAATTATATGAAAAGACGAACTGCAATCGACTTATCACCCGTATTTTACTTGTACCCCGCTTCCATATAGATGCAGCCGCCCGATGAATATTTTATCGAAAGAACGCGTATGTTCGCCAACTGGTCTCCTGAGTTTTTCACTGGGCATTTTCGCAGATCTATCGCGAAAGCTGCAACTGTTCCAAGATATGGTGGGCATCGGTAGCAATAAACAGCAGTGGAAAAAACAGCACACTAAGTAAATATGAAACGACTTTTGCAAACAGGAGTTTTATAGAACATGACTATCTACAGTAATCCACCGCTATATCGCGCCCCAACTTTCGTGGCTATTATGTGTAAGCATGTTCAGGTATATATTGGGGATTTCTGCGGACGATGGACCTTTTTATTTCTGGTACATGCTTCTTCAGTTGGTTTGCCAAGTTGATTTCATATAAGGGACTCTATTGACCGCTGGCTGAGAAGCTAGTCCATCAGAACATGTCGTTAAGTATCCTGGGCGCTGATTGGATCAGCGAAGGGGAATCGCATTAGGTCTCGCTTTGCGTTAGCCAGCATCCTGTCCCGCTCATCCAACACCAACGTGCTTCGCTGGGTAAAGCGTTGTTTTTTGTGCTTTTTCTGCTTGGTTAACCCCCTCGTTATTCCTCCGGAAATATCTGCTCCTAATGCTACGGAGGCCATGCCGCAACATCAACGGAAGATGCTAACGACATACAATACGCATATGCGCATAGTATATAAACACTGTATTTACATACATGATTCCAGCAAGGAATACCTTTTAACTAAAAGAATATTAAGGGTTTATGCGGCATGACTGTGTAGCAAATGTTTGTCAAGAAGGGGAACGGTTCACCAGAGCTTGAAATATATATATATATATATATAATATCCATAAGAACATATGGTCTTTGCTTTGCGGATTTTCACTTTTCGCAGGAAGTTCTGGAACGCAACAGCCGCGATCGAGGAGGGATCACCGAATGAAAAAGTTTCGGAGTTCACGTAAAACTAGAGGTGAGGTAAAATGTATCACATACAAGGTGACCCTCTAAAGTTAAACGAAAGGCTACTCACTGATGGTCCGCACCTTGCTCACGTCAGTCTTACCCAAATGCCATGGACGTACAACACAACACAATTAATCGATTACTACCGCAAAACCTCACGCAGAAGATATTTTTATGTAGGTGAAAATACGAACTGCCTTACGTTTCAGCCAGGATCTGCTGTTTTAATTGCGTAAAGTACTGCTAGGGTATCCCGTTAATTTCTCCCAGAAAATGCAATAAGGCTCTAAGGTGATGCGCTTTGGGCGTTTTCGACTGCAGTGTCAGCAGAAAAACATGATAGTCGGGAGGTGCAATGGTGGATACGACCCGCTTAAATCAGAAGAGGGGGGGATCTCCGGGACGAGCGTATTAACTGCCTGAGGATTCGAGTGGTTGAGGGTCCTGATCCTTATCCGAGGCTGGGCCGTACAGCCGAATCAAACAGGAAAGAACGGCCCTGACCCTTGGCGACCTTCCAATCCTCACTCCCTCGTCATAATTTGTGGTAGTAGTACTCCTGCGTGGCAGGCCGTCAGGCAAGGGCGGATGCCATTAAGCATATCAGAGTCGCAACTTCTTTCTTCGCGGGTAGTCGGGGAGAGGTCCCAGACCCAGCTGAATCAGCATACGTCCGCAAACAAAGCCTCGAGTGTGAATCCTTCTGTTTTCGAACTGTCCATGAAATGCGCGATGGCGGCACCGGCACACTTTACGACAAAAACATAGACATGTTAGGCCAGAGAGGCATCATGAGGAGGAGGAGGAGGAGGAGGAGGAGGAGGAGGAGGAGGAGGAGATCCTTATCGAATGTAGCACCTGTGGCAAAGTATATGCATTTCGGATCACGTATCCGAACCTTTTCGCGCGTGAGGCGACTGCAGTCTTTGATTATGTCCCAGAGTTGGGGATGTCATCGACCTCTAGTTTTTGCTAGTGGACTCAAATGCCGTAGAAATAGGTGCGTTGTTGAGAGGCTCAACGCAGCTGACGGCAGGACATATAGCACAGTGTCATTTTCAGAAAGTATGATTATTTTAAATATCTCAAGGATTTTGCTTATTATCGAAGAGATGTAACAGAGGAGCACTGGTTTGATCCCAAACTGGGCTCCTTTTGAAATGTATCCCCAAATCATTCGAAACCGGTACTAGGAAATCTTTAGAAAACTCCGTTAGATGTTCTTACTCACGGGTGCTTAACTATAAGGAAACGCTGGACAAAGGCTCAATTTTGGCATTCGACAGCAAAGTGACGAGTGTTACCCGCGGTAATGGCTGACGCAGCTTCTTGAGGGTAACCAGAGATCTCGAGATAAGTAAATTTAAAAAAACGGTTATTGAATAGATATGGGCTATCCGCTTTCCTGTGTCGCCGATGACAGTGGCCGAGGTAGATTCTGCGGCTAACTTAGAGCAGTATTAATGTTGACCGGCTATTTAGGAGCGTGTTACTTGGCAACTCAAAGCTAGATCTTAGATGCACCGCGTTTAGCGCGCTACTTGATTGATATTGACGGGCTTCCTATTCTGTGTTAGCAAATTCTAAAGTCTAGGTGGGCAAATGAAAGGCATAAATCTACTTTCGAACGCGATCTATTCTTTATTAATAATCAACAGCGAAATCCAGTGCTTTTTCGAGAAGCATGACACTAGCAATCTCCCAACGGGGGCGACTAACTCTGCCACCGCATCAAGGCTTGTGAGTGTAGTCTTTTAGATGATACTTTTTTGACACTGGCCCAATAAGTGGACTGTGTCTGACTCCTGGTAATTTATAGCCTAGGCAACGTTGAAAGTTCATCTCAACTTTCAGGATTTAATACCAACTGACAGGCGCACCTGCCCAGCAGTTAACTGCATGAGAATTCCGGACAGATGAGCGTAATAACTGCTCCTACTCCTCACAAACTTGTCGTTCCCAACAAAAGTGAAAGGCCGGTCGTCATTCTAGACTCAACAAATGATGGAAAGCTGTCGGCGACGTCAAGACCACCAAGATAGTTTCTTTCAGAGCACAGAAAATTTATTTATCTTCAATTGCAACGAATTTATGGACGTAAATTTAACTGAATTTTCGGATAGAGCAGACGGTGGAAACTCTAAGAACGCCCAAAGGGGACTGAGGCCGAGAATTGGGAAGGAGGCGAGTGCGACGAAGTGGCTTTGGGCAGAGTTTATGGGAGATAAAAACGCGTATTGACACAATTATAGTGTTGTCATATGAAGGTCCAAAAATGGCTACGGTAAATTAAGGTCGCACGACTTTGGCCTGTAAATTAAAATTGCGACACACTGAATTCTAAAACCAGGAAACACGTGTCAAGAGCCTCCGCCTTTGGGAGCGCATGCACTAGCCGGCCAACTAACGGTGGGCGACAAAATACAAATTCGGTCGACAACGACAGCGTATTCACTATAAATCGAAAAAGGAATTCCAGAAAATAGTAAAATCGTGAATTTGTTTTACGACACAACTGCAGAACTTTTCCTCAAGCAAGTTAACATGTGCTGTTCTAAATGGGACTGGAAACGCCAGTAACCAGAAAGGTTGGGTGGGACCATGAAACGAGTACTCGGGGGAGAAAACTTGCATTGGTTTACAATATCAATACGCACTGAAAATAACCCTGCAATTTTAAATGTCGTAATTCCCTGTGAGACTGAATATTTTCGCAAACATTTTGGGTGACTATCTATTCCTCCTAACATTCGACGCGTTTCCGTGAAACCGAAAGCCTAAGTTATAAAGTAAAGGCATTTATCCATAATCAGATCGTTCCTTCGTACTAAAATATCTGAGGGAATTTGGGTATGTATGTGTCCGGACGCACAGTTGGGAACATTTATCAAAACCACATAGCATAAAAACGGCCAGACTTCAAATTCAGTTAGGGAGCCTTCTAGTGAGCAGCTAACGACCTTCGTCATGTGCCGTTTTCTTTAAAAACGCGTTTGACTCTGATTCTTTATAACTTCGTCAAAAAATAAAATAACGTGGAATAAAGTAGTCGAGACCGGGCATGACAAATGAGGTCCCGATTTCCGATTTAAAAAACGGCAAAGAAGTATACAAAAGACACTAAAACGTTTTATGAACGCAATTATCCTAAAAGATCGAAAGGCTTTAAACGTAATACCAGTAAGAAAACGGAAAAATACTAAAGAGGGGCTAGTTTCCAGATGCATAAGAGACAGATCTAAACAAGTAATCGTTTGTTGAAGTCAAGCTGGACGAACGTACGTTTTCAATTGTAAATCCTCAGGCCTGCACAGTGATATAACTTGGGGTAGAGCAGTGAACAGTAATAAAACGAGGACGTCAGACATGTCGGTTCTGTCAGGGGTTTGGGGAGGGGGAAGGAGTCTAGCGGTGAACTACGCTTAGGCTTCGTCGCTGTCGTGCGGCGTGGTAGTATGCAAGAACGAACATTCTGGGTTCATCTTGGCCCACGGCAGTTTGACAACGGTGGTCATACGGCTAGCCAGCCCAGCCTTATGCGCGCAGAAAGCCTTCATACAAGCCCTCAAACTACCGTGGGCCAACACGGGCTCAGCATGCTTGTTCCCGCATCCTACCACGCCGCGCTACAGCGATGAAACTTAAGCGTAGTTCACTGTAAGAGTCCTCCCTCCCAAAGCCCCTGGCAGAATAGACATGTATGAACGTCCTGAACTCTCCCCCATATAACCACTATTCACTGGCTGTTCTAACTTCCACTGCTTTGCCCTAACTTGTATTGCTGCATAGGCCCGTGGATGAATAGTCGGAAACGTACGTTCACCGAACTATCCTTCGATGTTTACATAGGTGTCACGGAAGAATTCGAATAATGCCTTCTTGCTGAAGGAAATATGCACTGATGGTGGTGTCTACTGTACCGAATAAAAACATAACAGCAGGAGGTTGATAAATCCTCATACTACCGCGCGAAAGGAGCCGCTAGGGCTAGTGGACGAACAGCGCTCTATAGACCGCCATGGCATCCCTTCATTCATACATTCAGACTTTGGACCACTTTAGGCTTATTATGTTATGTGCGAACTGGGGGGCTGCGCTGGAAGAATTGCCACAGAAAATTCGCTCGGGAGCGAAGCCCTGCAACAGCAGTATATAGTGGAAGGTATTCAATGCTATGATGCCTTCAAAAAGAAAAAAATGGTAAATCGAAATAAAAACCCGGCCCGCGGGCCCCAAATAGCTTAAAAACACTCAACATACCGTGTCCTCATACTGCTGGGAGGCACGCCCCATCTGGCCAACTGTCGTGACTTTCGGAATTCGTCCGTCTGCACGAGTGTTATAAAGCAAATAGGCATACCTGGGAAGGAATAGTCAGGCAGATCAGTGAGAGGTCCCCATTCGTTACTTACTGCCGGCAAACCGCGCCTTCAAAATTGCGATTTTCAACTGGAACGTACCTAGAGCGATACCAACCCCCAGCAAATCTTTTGCCGCTAACAAGTGGTATCTCAGCAATAACACGAAGAATAGACCGATTCATCTGTCATTGAAGTAATAAGGTCTCAATAATTGCAACGAAATGCCTTTCCCATTCGCGGCTCTTCGCCCCCGCCGTGACGATCCCATTGGTGGTGCGCGCGGCATGCTGATTGGCTGTCTACTGTTCAACTATTGAGCGACATTCTTTTTGTCATTTTGGATTCCAGCCGATTAAAATTAAACCTGTTGCTGCCAGAAAATCGAAACACGATTTAGGAAAACCTAAGGCTAATATTTCATTTGCGCCATACACGGTACCTTCTAATCTTAGGCTGCCGATGGGACATGACTCTGCCGCCGTCGTTCCTTCTGGAATAGCGTCTTCTTTAGGAGCCTCCTTCTGAAGTAACCATCTTGGCCTTGCTATTCATCACTCACTCGCCGTTCATCACCCACAAAACCCCGCACAAAACGTCTGTATTCACAGGAGGGAAGTGCGAATAACAGTATCGTACTGTTTAACGAGTTGTACAGGAAAGCAAAGATTGTTTAACCGCAGAACGAGGAATAATAAAACGATCAGTCAAAGACTGGGCAATTCGCTCTAGACGCTCCGGTGGCAAAATGCTCACGAGTCCCGTCTTCTGAGCCGCGGCCGACAGGCGGTCTCCTATTGCAAAGCAGAGGACGTACATTCAGGTCTTCAGTTTCAATTCTCGCCCCGACCCCTTTCGCATTTAATAAGGTAATGCAGCCCGTTGTTACATAATTATATTCTGTTGTATGCCCCAACAGACGGAAAAAATCAAATAGGACACTGGGGTGAATAACAGAAGCATACAACTACTTAACTCCCAAAATGCAAAATTTAGTGCTGCATTTCACCATTTTATCTGTAACAGACCACAAGTTCGGCGGGGTTGTTTGAAACGGCAGAGGTCGCTATTGACGCGGATTTTTGATGGGTCTGGTGTGATCGTCTACCAGCGAAGATGGCTGGTGTTTATTCTCTTCCTACCGCTGATAGCGCTAACACCGCCCTCGCAGTTCGCTCGTAACCCGTTTCCCTTACCGTCAGCACACTCCCCGACTCTTACACGCAGTTGACGACAGCGCGCAATTATTCAATTTAATTCAATTATTTTATTAAAGACCCGTCGGGGTCCCATCAAAGCAAGTAAAAATAAATTTACATGCAAATTTGTAGGCAAAATCTGCACAAAGTGCAATGCATAGTTTTTGAGATTAGAAGTCCGTTAAGCAAAATGAAAATGAAAAAAAAACGAGGGGTGAAAAAAAAACTCCAAAGCAAGATTTAAAAATGATTGTAGTAATTTAACAGGAGAAAAAAAAACCCCTCAGAAAAATAGCATCAGAAAAAAAGGGAGGACTGGCCTGCATGTGGCGGTACAAAATGGAATAAAGCCCGACATCAACATGGCCGAAATAGATGTCAGCTGTATATGGCATTGTGTAACGGATTTCATAAAATGGTACGTAGGCGGGTCGGTCAGGACTGGCCTGTATCGCCTTGAATAAGAAAAATAAGTGCCGAAATTGAAAACCAGTCTCAAGCCGATAGGAACCCAGATACGGTCAGTTTCATTCAACCGAGTCCATCCGAACATGGGGGGAGATGCGACCAGACTACTAGTATATGGCGAATATAGAAGGCTTTGACAAGACCGCCGATGGAGCACATTCTGTGAGGGCATGATGACAACCAGTCTCGAGGCGAAAAGGCCCCAGATGCGGTCTGTTACATTCATCAGAGTCCATCCGAGGATAGGGCAAAGGAGATGCGACCAGACTACTAGTATATGGCTAATATAGAAGGCTTCGCCAAGAGCATCGATGAAGCGCATTCAGTGAGGGCATCATGAAGATCAGTCTCGAGGCGATAGGAACCCAGATGCGGTCGATTACATTCATCCGAGTCCAACCGAGGATGGGGGAAGGGAGATGCGACCAAACTACTAGTATATGGCGAATACAGAAGGTTTCGCCAAGAGCGTCGAAAGCGTGCATTCTGTGAGGGCACGATGCATGAACTAAAAAATTGGAATAATTAACATTTCTGGTGAGGGATCTTGGGTAGCGAGACTACTCATAAAGAAACGTGAACAGATACGGAAATTGAATAGCGGCATGCTAAATTCCCGGTGGCCCTTTCTCAGTGTCATAGGAAAAGTTGTCTGGGAAGGATGAGGAAAATAAAAGTTTAATCGAGTCAGTATTCAGATAAAGGCGTAGCCTTCTCTTAAAGGTGTGTAGATTTTCTGAAGATCTTATATTTATTGGAAGGTTATTCCAGAGGAAAGTATACCTGGAAGCGAAAAAAAGGGAGCGCTTAGAGGTGGAGGACGCTGGAAGAGGTATAATTAGAGACGAATTGCGAAGATTGTATGGGCGACTACTAGGGGTAAGTGCTGAAATCCGAGGAAAATTTGAACTATGATTAATGCGAAAGAGGAGACAGAAGCCCGCTTCTAGACTTCGAACCCATAAAAATTTTAGGTTAGTTAGTTGGCATCTATCTGAGTAGGAGATATTGGGATGTTCCCTATATAAAAGTTTTTTTGAAAAACGTCTTTGGACATTTTCAATTTTTAAACGACTGGCTTCATTCATCAAACCAAAGAATGGGCAACAATACTTGAGAATGGGAAGTACAAACATACGATAGAGCCTTAATTTAATTTCAGGAAGATAGAAATTGTAAGAAATAAAGCCACAAATCTGGGCAGCCTTGGCTGTAATTCTGTCAGCGTGCGGCGAGAGATCAAGATTACTAGTGTAGCTTAAACCTAAATCCTTGATGGTGGTACATTCAATCATAGGTGTTCCTTGAAAGACCACAGGTTGGGGTAGCCTATCAGGTCCAAAACACATATAACGACATTTAGAGGGAGAGAATTCCATTAGCCATTTTGAGCTCCAAGCTGAGAGAGCAAGCAAGTCAGCATGGATTTGCTCCAGGCAATGAAGGATCGTAGATTTTTTAAAAGAATATACACATTTGAGATCATCGGCATAAATAAATGATTGAGAATGTTTAACTGCGGCTGAAATATCATTTATGTAAAGTAAGAACAAAAGAGGACCTAAAACGGTACCTTGTAGGACACCGCTCACAATAGGACTTTCACTGGAAAGTGAAGATCCCACCAAAACCTTTTGTTTACGATTAGAAAGGTATGACCTGAGAAAGTCTATTAGTGGACTGCGAATTCCCATAGCTTCCAATTTAATCAGGAGTCTTTTATGTGGCACTTTATCAAAGGCTTTACTAAGATCAAAATAAATTACGACAACAGATAGGTGATCATTACGAAGAGAGGTAAGTAGATCGAGAAACGACAGATGACATGTTTCACAAGAGCGATCTGGTAAAAAACCATGTTGGGAAGGGCTAATAACTTGATTGGCTATGCAAAATTCGGTAATTTTTATGGCGATAATTTTTTCAAAGATTTTGGCGAGAGAGGGTGTTTTATGGACACCTCGATAGTTCTGTACGTCAGAACGACAGCCAGACTTAAATACTGGAATAATAATAGAAGTTTTCCAATAGTCAGGGAAGAAGCCATTTACGAGAAATACTGAAAAGATTTTGCTAAGCAGAGGAGGAAAATCTCTTAGTTGTTTTATCAAAGAGTTTGGGATATTGTCCGTACCTACTGAGTGAGAGTTAGGAAGATGACTTATCAGTTTTTGAATACATTCAGGAGAAAAATTAATGAAGCTAAGAGAAGCATCAGACAACGAAGGAATTAAAGGGATCGGATCAGTTTCAATGGTGAAATGCTTGGCAAAGAACGAATTTAAAATTTCTGCTTTGCCTGACTCTTCTGTAATGAAGGCATCACTTGCACTAAGCAAGGGCGGAATGACTTGGTGGGACTTAGCAGATGATCTCTGACGGAAGATCTGAGCAACTGATTTAGAAGAATTCACATCATTAATAGCCAAAGACTCTCTACGCCTATCTCGCTCGAGCCTTATTTTCGAAGCTAGTTCAAATATTTCAACGATTCTTAGATGAACTGATAATGAACTCACAGAAGGATCTTTAAACTGCTTCCGTAACTTTTTAAGTCTGTTTTTAAGAAAGTGTGGGATAGCGGTGGAATTAGCACTCGGTTTGAACATCTTCCGAGGAATAAGGTCAAGAAGACCTTCTGTTACGCATTGTAATAAATTGTTGAAAAAATTTAGATCATTATTTGAAAAAATATTGTGCCAATCAAGAGTGCAGGTAAAGTTATTTACTAAATCCTTATTAANCTTTATGACAAATCGCAGAAACACGACAGGAAGCGAAGAAGACTTATGACAAAAAATAGAAAATTTCGTCAGGTCTGCACTGGAAAACTGTGCAAGGGATTAAGAAATTGAATCCAAAAATATAACTTTCACTTATCTTTTCAAAATCGTGCTGCGCGCGTTGACCTTGACCTTGACTGCCCTTGTGCAATCCCAACTGGCATCTAATTGATAGGACGTGACCACCTCCTACTCCAAATGGATCCTTTGTACAGTACTTCTACATTTTCTTGTATTCGTTTTCTTCCACATTTCCACTTGTAATCGCAATATCGATTTAATTTACTAGGAAACTCTTTTCTTATTCCATCCTTATATGTTTGGCTGGTGCGGTGTCTAACAAATCTGTCCAGTATTACATAACCCGGAAGCTACCCTAGGTGGTCTATTCGACCGTGTGTTTGCCAACCTCGACGTCATCGGTCACTGCATCTCCATATTACCTGTTGATTACGTGCAAGATCTAGACCTTAAGGGTGTCATGTTTGCGGAAGGCATCAAGATTTAAAAAGTCATCCACAGGTACCGTTGTAGATCCTGCTTTACATAAATGATATCTAAGCGGCCATTAAACATTCTCAAACATTTATTTAGGCCGATTATGTAAAATCTGTATATTCTCTCGATAAATCTACGACACCTCATTGCCTGGAGCAAATCCATGCTCACTCGCTTACTCTATCAGCTTGGAGCTCAAAATGGCTAATGGAATCCTCTCCTTCTAAATGTCGCTATATGCGTTTTGGACCTGATAGGTTACCCCATCCAGTGGTCTTTCAAGGAACAC